CCCACCTTTATTTTTTAATAAAAACTAGTTTCTTAAATAAATGTAATTTGTCTTTTTTATTAAGTAATGAAATAAAAATAAAAAAAAGTAAAAAACTTGATTAATTCAAATTGGAATTTGGTGAAAAAAGTATAATTATAATATAATAGTACAAAAGGCTTTGCCATAATGCAGAAAACGTACAGCCTGTTGGAAAACAGAGGGAAAACGTAGCATGTACTGCAAAACATGTTTTGAAAAGTTTCATGCTCTGAAACTGTCCACAAAATCCCGAGTATAAAGCGTTGGTTTGCAAACACAGCTGATTATGATTGTATCATTTTTGACTGGAATTTGAAGAATTTCCCTTCTCCGTCTCCTTTCTTTTAGTGCCTAATTCTTGCAGAGGAAATCACTGCCATCTCTGTCACACATACCTGAATGCCCACATGTCCTTACTATCTTTAATTTGCAGCAGTCTGCTTTAATCTCCACTTTTGTAGGAGTTCAATGTACACCAGTATTTCCACAATGTTTTGATTCGGGACATTCTTTAATTCACATTTAACACTTTTTAATTTTCCAAACTGCTGGTTGAATTGTCATAGAATAAAAATACTTCCTCCTTGCAATTGTGGCTTATCCTTAAACACAAGTTATTTTTCTTAAGGTTAAAGTGCATTTCTATCAAGAAGTTGTATAAGATGTAGTCAGATGTGGTTTAACAGAAATTGAGATAGTTTGATGCTGAAATAGCCAACTGAGATGCACTGCAGATTTCAGCATAGAAAACCCAAACAAGACTTGAGTATGAATGGAGGTCGTTACTATAAAAAGTTCACCAGAGGCTTGTTCTAAGGTGTAAAAAACCTTGATGACTTGAGCAGAAAATAAGTTTAACTAAGCAACATTTTCTGCCCGAAAAAACATTCAACACTCCTCCATTTCCTATGATTTGCTGCAGGTCGGAGCAAATCTCTCAAATTCAGAAATGCTGAACGACGGTGGCAAAAATGTGATAAAATATTGACATATGATTTTTATGACCAATATTAACTGTAGATGCTTAGGTGAGAATGTAGATTTGTTAAATTCAAATATTTGCAGTAGTAACACGTTTACAACACTAGGGGGCACACTTATCACTTTCATTTAAGGACGCTTTACAGCACTTTTGCACATTTCAAAAGAAAGCAAAGCTATGATTCAGTAGTGTGGATGATTTAGATAAGCATGGCTTCTTTTTTAAAATCCCAGTGCTATCAGGTACCCCACCACATAAATAAATACGCCTCACACATATGTCAAATGCTATGGAATAATCTTCCCTGTGATATTTATCAAAGTCAGAATAACAGTTAATCTAGTTTCAACCCTTGAGACACGTCTGCAGCCAGTATAGATATAGGAGGCCTGTTCTGAACACTGGTCTCCACTAAAATGTCACATCTTGTAAAGGTGCCAGCAAGAGACAGATTGTGAACAAAGCAGGAAAGACAAGAACCCAGAAGCCAAAGGGACAGCAGGCTGGAGAGATCTCTTACATTTTATTGGCTCATGTCAACTTTCTGTACAACATTAACACACTTCGTGCTTCAGGTTTTTTTTCCCCCCATTCAAATGACTTTCTTTAATTGACTGAAGCTTTTCAAGTTTTTAATGCAAAATGTGGAATTTAATGAACTGCATTGATGACTAATTTCACTTCATTTTCACTATGATTGTAAAATAAACAAGAACCTATTTATTATTTAAGTTGCTACAATACAATAAGGCTCCCCTTATAGATGACTGATAAACCCTACAGATAATAATTAATCTGTAAACACTTTATAACTCGCTATTTGGAGGCTAACAAAAGAAGCCAAAGACCCCCATTCCAAACGGGTGGACCCTTTCGTCTATTCCATGTTGCGTGTTTTCAAAACAAAAAACAAGGCATTACTGGGCTACTGTATAAAACTTCGAACTCAACGCTATTCCTGACAGTTTGTACTGAAAAAGCTTCTTGGATGGGAAGCAAAATGTCTTCAAACTTGGAAACAAAGTCCAGTGGATTGTTTTTAATTTGCTTTTTTTGGAACACTTTATAACTCATTTATAGATGTCTATTATACATTCAACATATTATACATGCTAAAAAATGCCTGCAAATAATAAGTGCACTTAATAGGCTTGAATAAACGCTTGATAAAATATATAGTTTAGCTTCAGTATTTTGCAAGGAACCTATCTTTTTTCTGTATTGCCCTTAAATAATGAATAACAAACACTTATGAATGAGATATAAAGTGTTTTAAAGGGTTATTAACAATACAACTACAATATATGTATTGGCCATCTAAGGGGAGCTTTATTATAAAATGGTACTATATTTAATAACCTTTTTTGTTTATTTGATGGCTTTATATCATTGAATATGAGCAGGAAACCTAAGATGTTGGACTAATTGCTACTTGTAGTTATATGTAGATACATTTAAAGTGTAAATGAAGTGACTTAGTTTTCATCGTAACGCTCAGAGTATCATAGGTACAGTCTAATTCTTTTAATCAGCATAGAGCTACCAATTTAGTATTCAATGCATAATCTGATAGCTAAAAATCAGAATGATCGTAATATAAGTCATAGTTCAAATAAATGTATTTGCCCTTAATTTGAGCAGGTTAATAAGATGATCTGCCGATATAATGAATATTTTAGCCATTAAAATAAGATACATAGATTTAATGCACAATTATAAAGTTGTTCTTTCATAAATCAAATATAAATAATCTTATTCTGTAGGTGAATTGTCTTAATAACCCGTTAAAATCAAAAGAGAATTCACTTATTTAAAAAAAAAACAACTTTATGTACTTTCTAGTTCATACTGATTTATTTTATAGCAGTGTAGACTTTCTTTTCAATTTCTTTAGAAAATGCGCTAACAGAGTCATCGGTGTGTATTTGTCCAAAGTCGATCCGAGAAATCATCTGAACTAGATATCAATCTCTATGACTTTATTATTTCAAAAATGCAGCAGGGTTTATCAATAATCGACATTATACTAATGAGAAGTTACACTTCTGGGTGATGGACGGAGCAGAAGAGATTTGGAAGCTGTTTTCCTGAAGAAAATAAAAATAAATCTATACTCTAGACGTGTCCCTACTGATCATTGGGCACAAACATCTTTGCTAATGACTCCAAACTGTAGAAGAACACCACTAGTGGGACCAGCCAGGCCCCTGAAAGGTAATAACACAAGGATTATGGTAAATAATGGAAGGAGAGGCACTTTTCACAGACAGACTCCATTTTTGGGAAGCATTTCTGCCCAAAAGCTATGAGTTTCCCTAAAGTATTGAAGCAGATGTAACTATTTGCATCCACACTTGTACAGTATGTTTAAGAGCATCTGGGTTTTATAGAGCATGAGTGTATAAATAATTAATTGAAACAAAAGCCAAGATAGACAGTAGACATGTGCATGCATGAGAGAAAACGACTGTCAGAGCTGACCTTAGAAACACATTAGTATCCTGATCAGAGGTTACTGCTTCTTTTACCGTTATCTACAGTCTTTAAAGTGGGAAAGTTTGAAAATATCCAGCAAAGTAATAGAAAAAACACAAATAAGTTGATCAAAATGACCAACCCCAATGTAGAAAGTCCAGGCAGATGTTGCTTCTAACTTCCCCTTGTAAAAATGGAAAATGTCAATTTTTTACAAATGGCTCTAAATATATATTGTGGTGGACAGGAGTGAACTTCAACGCAATTGTCCTTTTTAAAGAAGTGGTGCTGAAAAAACTGCTGTTGTCTAACTAGGTTGTTAAGTTAAAGATGATCATTAATTGAAAAAACTGTAACATGTAGCTGTTCATTCAAACTAATGACTGTCCCTGTAAACTGGATAAAATTATAGATTGGACTGTGTAACTCATTCTTTTTGGATTTTGAGACATCACGTTTGATTTAACCTGAACTAAATACAAAGGACCCAAAACATTTTTTTTGATTTCTCTCAACATGCAGATATTTATTCATGATTATTAGTGGTAAGGTAATTTTTTTGTTTGTGTCACATGTGAATTGCGGTTTGCACGCACTCAGAGCACGTGATCAAGTCCAAGTCTCAGGTCGTAAAAGAGCGCCATTTTTGTCATCTCTACATCCTGGGTGGATTTCACCCATAAATAGGTACAAGTAGCAAAGCAGTTGCATATAATCAATGTTATAGCTGGCTAGTTAACTAGTTAGTATTAGCTGGCTGACGTCTGAGAGGGTTTAGGCATTTTTGATAACAATATGACAATGAATAACTAACATTAGCGAGGAAAAGGCCCTCGCTCGTTCAACTGGGCTACATCCAGAGCTAAACAAACATTGCTTAAAGGTACAGTGTGGATTTTTGTTCAGGTTAAATGCTGGATACCCAGTGGTGTCAAAAGTACACACGTTACTTAAGTAGAAGTATACATGTAGATACTGCAGCTTAAAAACACTCTGGTAAAAGTTGAAGTATCAACTTGACCTTTTTACTCAAGTA